CTCATAGGAACCTAACCCTTTACTTCCCCTAGGAGAAATGGTTCAGTGTTTGCTAATTCAGTATTTAACTGACTTTATAGAATATAACTACTGTTAATAATTAGAATTGACTGTAAACACAAAAGTAATTATAGGTAAAATAGCATGATGTCTGGGATTTGCTTCAAAATAATCCACTGGTAGTAGAGGGAGCAGACACAAAGAACAGAGTTTTATAGATGAAACAAGATTGGCCATGTGTTGATAATTGTTCAAGGTGAGTAATAGGTAAACGTGAGAGTTCATTAATGTATTCTCTCTGCCTTTGCAGCTAATTAAATGTACAGCAAGATGACACTAGTTAAAAATAAATATGCTATATCAAAATAATAGAATATATCAAAATATATTCTATTATTGAATAGAATATATCATATTCTATATCTATATATTGATATATAGAATTATTCTATATGAAATAAACAGAATATTATACTTCTGCTTTAAGATGATGAGCTAACAACACAACATTGAAATCCCCAGTCACAGTGCTTTAAATAATTCCCATCAACATGAAAACAAGAAAAGGGGCCATAAATAGACCAAAAATTTGACAAACAGCTTAAAGACAGAAATATATGATCATAGAGACACATAAACCAAAGGAGAAAAACCATAATCCAAAACCTAAATAGAAGTCTACAGTGGAAGAGGATGCTGTCTTTTGTGGAAGAGGCCTCAGAGGGCTTTAAGTACCCAAAAAGTTAACACAGAGGGCAGAAGCCCACAGGAATCAAGCTGATTAATTAAGAAACCATCTACCAAAAAGCTTGGCCTCATAATCATCGATGTTTGTAACAGCTACCTGCAGCATTTACCTATGGCAAATAACCAAAGACTGCTTTCAAAACAACCATATGTCTCGCAAACGTCCCTCCTATGGGTGTTGGGGTAAACAATAAAATCAATACAATCAGAAAAGGGCCTGACTTAAAGGACGTTACTATCATTCACTACAATGAAGTCCCTCTACTACACACCTTTACACCTTTAAGGAAGTCTGTCAATAAGCCCTTCCCCAACCAGTTACAAGAATCCCACAGTCAATCCTTCCATTCTGAGGGGAAGCCTTCTGGTAAACAGATACACAAAAAATATAAAGCAAACCCATATAAGCAACATACCTATATAAAGCAATGTAGAATTTCATTCAAAAACATGAATGAAGGTACCTAGTCTTTCTCTTCATCATACATTTGAAGAAAATTGACATCGTCAAAGAGAAAGACTAGGAAAAATTTGTCTTAATTTAAAAACGAGAAAGACTAGGAAGAACAAACAGAAGTTATCCAACAGAAAACAAAGATAATGCAAGAAACAGAAAAGAACTTAAAAATTATAATCAGAAAAATTAAAAAGTTACTTTTATTAAGGAAAACTGCTTTTAAAAAGAAAAAATCAAATAAGTAATTTCTTAGAAGTAAAAATTTGATTTTTAAAATTCAAAAAACGAAAAAGAATCTTAGTCCATTTGGGCTGCTGTAATAAAATACCTTAGACTGGGTAATTTATAAACAACAGAAATTTATTGCTCACAGTTCTGGAGGCTGAAAAGTCCAAGATCAAAGAGTCAGCAGATTCAGTGTCTGGTAAAAGCTTACTCCTCATAGGTGACACCTTCTGTGTCCTCACATGGCAGAAGGGGCAGGAAGCTCCCCCAAGCTCCTTTTATAAGGGCACTAATCCCATTATGAGGCAGAGACCTCATGACTTAATCACTTCCTAAATGCCCCACCTCTCATTACTATTACATTGGGTATTACGTTCTAACATATGAATTTTGGGAGGACATCAACATTTGGACCACAGCATAGAGCAACCAGAAAAAATCCACTTAATGACAAAAGAAAAAGTAAGACCATTCAAGAGATACAACAAAAACATAAAAAGATGGAAAACATAAGAGAAGAGAGAAAAGAGAAAAGAGAGCCAAATCCAGAAGGTCCAACCTATGACAGAGTGCCGAAAGAAAGAACATAGACGATAAAGAAAAAATGTAAAAGAAGAACATTTCTCAATCAAAATAAAATCTTAAGTTTTGACCTTGAAAAGGCCACCAAAGGCTGAGAAGAATAAATTTTTAAAAGACCCAAATAAACAGATGATACTGAAATTTCACAATATCATATATAATAAGAAAATCCTAAAAGCTTCAAGCAAGTGTCTAGACAAAACAAGAATCACCCTAGCATTGGGCTCCTTGGTATCACCACTGTACGTTAGAAGAGATCAGGGTTATGCTTTCAAAAATCTGAGGGAAACTACATGGACATAAAGATTTTATGTTCAGCTGAAGTATCAGTCAAGCATAAGGGCAAAAAATAGACATTTTCAGTCATGCAAGGAGTCAGAAATTGTACCACCTATGCATCCTTCTGAGAAAAAATGTTAAAAAAAAGTAATCTGATAAAAAAGAAAAGGAAGACATGGGATTCTATAAACTGTGGAACACGTTCAGGAGTATAATGAAAAGAAAACCTAGGATGATAGCTGTGAGTATGTTTAGAAAGCAATTGGTCCAAATCCATACCACAAACCAAAGAGAACAAGGAAAAATGTCTTCTGCCCATTATACAAATGTCTGACAAGGAACATAGCTTTTTTTAAATAAGAAAGAGTAAAAAGAAGGGCAATTAAAAATTCCAGGGGGAAAATGTTGTCTAGGAAGCCCATGATTTAAATATTCAGCAGATCTATTAATAAATGTAGCATAATTTGGATAATTAATGGACTATACAGAAAAATAATCCATTTGACTTTGATATTTAGAATACTCTTTTGACAGATACAGGTTGAATGGCATACCATTTTCACATCTCAATGAGTCTAAACATACTACATGGTTCTCTACGAAATATTTACATAGTTTTAAAATTGTAAATGCCACTTATGGCTTTCAAATTTCAAGTCAATTCAAAATCCAGGGTATCTCTGTGATCTATGGATTATGACATCACGATTACCTGGGAAGTTTATTTTAAACCTGGACCATGAAAAAATAATTTGGGAGCTGGAGATTCAATAGATCAGGTGAAAGTCCCAGACATCTATATTTTAATAAATTCTCCAAGTATATCTTATGCACACTAAATTTTGGGAATCACAGATATAAAGCAGCAATCTCCAAAATTTCTCATTATACATCTTATTAACAAAAGATTTTTGAGTACCCACCTCTAATATATAGTATCCGTGTTTATTTATAAATCGTACATATTTTATATGTATATATATTTTGTACATTATAAATATGAAAAATAGAAATTTCAAAGGATGAGGACAGTGACAACAATATTTTAATATTTGCTTCTGCTCAACCAAGAGAAAAGTAAAAATTAAGGATAGGTTTAGAAAGTAGAAAAAAATTAGCAAATAAAAGGAGGGGAGGATAAAGAAAAAATCATAGAAATCACAAAGTCCCAAGACATTCTAGAAGATTTATGCTGTGAAAAAACAGAGGGAGTCTGAGTGATCATATTTCATCTCAAGGATGATTGAAGAAGTAACGAGGGTACTTCAACAAGACTTAATTTTCTTCATCAAAAGGAAAAAATTGATTGATGAATTAGACATACAAGCAACATGAGAAGAAACTGATTACACTATTTTAAATGTTCACAATAACCAAGGATGGTAAAATTAGACATAATCAAGCATGTATCACAGATTTTTAACAAGTCAAATTTGAGACAGTACTAGAATGATCCCAGGGCTAGTTGACTCCAAAGGTGAATATAGTTCAAGTTGTCAAAAATAATATGCAGATTATGTGATCATGATTCCAATTTTTAAAAAAGGAAAAGGTATCCATATGCTTAGCTTCTCATTTAGGAAATATAATGAAATTCTTTTAATAGGAAAGCAAGTGTTTTAATTGCTGTGCTAAGTGTCATGGGACTACTCTATACCAAATGTTTGGTAAGGAATACCCAGCATCACTCCACTGTTTCTAATGGCCAAGGAAAAGACCCATAGTTAAATGACTGGGCATCCCCTATAGGGTAATATCTGAAATCCCTCAATCTATTCCAGAACACTTATTCTACTCTGGCAAGGTCATCCCAGGCTTTCAAGTACACACTGCAATTATCCTAGGGGAAAACTGAGTCATGTCTAGAAGTTCCCTACACAGGCAGTCTATGGAGTAAAAAGCCAAACAACAGGGACTTTACCAATTTTTAAAGTTGAACTATAACAGTTCAACACATACACACACACACACACACAGACACAGTGTCTAAGACATAGTTTTATCTCTTATCTGAAAACTTTCCAAATATGTCAGAATATAAGCAGGAGACAGAGCCTACCTGTACAACAGAATAAGTTGTTTTCCAGTTGCAATGAACCCCCGGATGGCAAGTCACATAACCCAAGCATGCACAGATGAACCAAGTGTGCCCAATTAGTGACCCTGGAGCCAGTGGGAACAAAAATGTCAACCACATAGGGAATTTAACTACCTCGACTGAGGAGCATGGATCAAATTAAGGAGAAAAGGGTGTTTTGTTACCATGCAAACTAAAGAGCCATGCAAACTTAAAAGCCCAGGACCCAGCACCTCTCTTTGCATGACCCAATCACATCATGCCTTGTTGCATTTTCCTATCTCCTTTGAATTTACCCTCTGCTTATAAAACCTGCCCCCTAGACCCCAGCTCAAGGAGACAGACAGATTTGAGCATTGCCTCCTGTCTCTTTGCCGACAGACCTTGCAATGAAGCCTTTTCTTTTCTCAAAATCTGGTGTATGGTATTGGCTTCCATGTGCATCAGGAAGCAAGTCTATTGCTTAGTAACAGTACCTCTTGTAATAAATCCAAAAATTGCAATATTACTCCATATTCATTTGGAAATCAAATAAATCTCTTTAGGGCATTAATGACAAGTTTTAACTTTAATACTGAAAAGAAATAAGTTCAATAAACCAAATACTCATGAAAAAATAATCTGGGAACTCACCTTTCCACAACCAAACTGACTGCCTGCGTGAGATCTGGGTTTGTCACCTGGAGACGTTTCCACAAAGACCATACAAATTCTTTATCAGCCTTAAAGAAATAAAAGATATTTTAAATGCATTGCTTTGTAGTAGTATCAGAGAAGATAAGATGCTACATTAAATTAAAAACAAAAAAAACATAATTACTTGATCTCTAGTTCTATAACTATACCAATAGATTCTTTCGTTAAAAGTATGGCAGGAAAGCTTTATTTTAAAAAGTTCTTACACTGGTAACCCACATTCACTTTTACCATTTCTATCACCCATATTTCGGGGTACAAATTTTGAAATGCTGAATACTAAGGTAAATCTGTCCTAAAAGGAAATTGTCCTCTAGATGCTGCCCCCTTTTTCATCTCCCCTTTGCAACAAAACTCCTTGAAAGAGTTGCCTATAATCACTGTCTCCATTTCCTCACCTCCCATTCACTCTATAATGTGTCCTCCAGTAAGATTCCCCTCCCCACTATTATGCTAAAACCATTTTTCAAGGTCCTCTATATTTCCAAACCAATGGACAATGAACAGTTTCTGTCGCTACTGCCTAGGTTAGTTATTAACACTGGCTGGCAGTTAAGAATCACTTTGGGGGAGCTTTTTAAAAATACTGATGATCTAGAGATTCTGACTAATTGGTCTCAGGTAAGGTCCAAGCATCAGTATTTTTTAGAAGTTCCTCAGGTGAGTGTGTACATTCAGAGTTGTGAACCACTGCCCTACATGGCCTCCTATCAGTCCCGTGATTTTACATACCATCTCTACACTGAGACTCCCACATTTCTATCTTGAGATACAAGATTCAGACTTGTATCTCTAACTGCTGATTCAACAATTCCACTTGAATGCCTAATAGGCATTTTAATTTGTCCAGAATAAAATTATTGATTCCTTACCCTCTCACAAATCTGCCCCCCTGTATCTCAGAAAATGACACCATCTATTCATTTGTTCAAAGACCTAAAGCCTAGGAGTCAATCTTGGTCACTCTCTTTTCCTCACACTTCATATCCAAATCATCAGAAAATCCTATTAGCCTAATCTATAGAATATATCCCAATTCTGACTACTCTCACTACTTCCACCACGATGACTCTAGTCCAAGTCAATAGCCCAAGTCAATTCAACAAACATCTGAAAACTAATTCCTACATTTAAACAAATAATTTGCTTATCAGAACTCAGGGAAAATCATGGAAAGAGTTTACATGTAAAGTTTGGCAATTCCATCTCTTGCCTAACTCTCCACCATGGTCTGCTAGCCTTACAATTCAAAACTCTTCAATAGGTTCCCATAAGGTTAGGAAACTAATCCAAACTGTTTACCAAAACTACAAGACCCCATGTGATCTGGCCACACATACACCTCGCCAGCCTCATCTATCACTTTCTTGTTCACATTGACTTTCTCGCTATACTTGAACCAGGGCTTTTGCACATACTGTATCATCCATCAGATTTTCATACAGATCATTCCCTCACTTTATCCAGTTCTTTGCTTAAATAATGCCTCCTGAAAGAAACTTCTTCCCTAACTACTATAACAGCCACCAAAACCCACAAGTCCCTGGTAACTCCTTATCCTGTTTCATTTTTTTTTTATGACACATTTGATAATCCTGTATTTGTTTGGTTATTTGGGTTTACTTGCATGGCAGATACCTCAATTTGTGTCTGTCTCCACCATCCATTCTCTAAGTTATAGAAACCATTTTGGGTCTTTGTTGCCCAATTAACAGACTGGCCTTTCTTGCTTTATGGGCTAAGTGACTAAGTTCGGCCAATGAAGTAAAGAAGTGCTGTTGTAAATTCATAGGAAATCTTAAAATTAAACTTATGTCTACCAAATGTGCTAGAAATATTCTTCACAGTCTGTTGCTTATTTATGATGGCAATTTTTTCGGAAAAAAGAAAGTTATTGTTTATATGCTCATATTTATCCACCTATTCCATTATGACTTATGGATTTTATGTACCAGTTAGAAAGGCCTTCTCTACTCCAAAATTAGAAATATTTTTACCCGTTCTTTCTTTTAGAATTTTTGGCTTTTGATTTTATATTTTTAACTGACAAATTAAAATTATACATATTTATGGTGTATAACATGTTTTGATATATGTATACCCTGTGGATGGCTAAATAAAGCTAATTAACATAACCCATTGCCTCAGATACTCATCATTTTTTTTTTTTTTTTGTGGTGAGAACACTTAAAAACCTACTCTCCTAACAATTTTCAAGTATAGAATACATTGTTATTAGCTATAGCCACCATGCTGTCCATTAAGGCTGGTGATTTGAAAAAAAAGTTATTTTGTGAATGATAAAATGCTACAAATGGATTGCAGAACTGTAGTATGCATGAGTTTTGTGAGTGTTTTAGTTATTTAAATGCTACATTATGTTCAGTGTGGATAATACCTCTAATTACTGAAAAGACCCACTTTTATATAAAAAAAAGCCCCCCAAAAAACAAAGAACTAGTTTTCAAACTGTTCTAGACATTATTAAAACAAAGAAACTAACTATTGTCAATCATATTCACCTTGTATTTTCCTATATTTTCTCTTCCTTTGGGTACTTAAAGATGTTCTTTAAAACAAATTAAAAATAAAAACCTTTAAAAAATACTCATAAAATTCTTTATTCTCACTACAAAACTTCTAAACAGAATCAAATAATCTAAAATTGAAATAAAAATTCCTACCCCTTCTCACAAAGTTTATTACACTAAGCCTATAAAAAAAAAAGTTGACTAAATGCTAGGTGATCTGGGTTTAAATCTGCTTGGAGGTCGATTGATTTTGTCTTTCATAATCAGCTAGCATGGAAATAGATACCATGCTTTCCAAATACCTTGTTTAGTGTTTAAGCAATATATTAGGCCCTCAATTGACCTCTGCTGGAGGAATGAATTCAAAAAACATCTGAAAACTATTTCCTACATTTAAACAAATAATTTGCTTATCAGAACTCAAGGATAACCATGGAACTAGTTTACTTACAAAGTACGGCACAAAGTAGTCACTCAGTAAATTCATATCACGAAAAATTGTACAAAAAGATTCACCAATTAGAATATATCTACTAACAACGGTAGGAATTAATTACACAACACATTCTCAAAATCTTTTTTGAGAATGAATGGACAAGGTTTCAACATATCTAAATTTCTAGCATAAAATATAACTGGCTGAGTTCTCTGGTCATATACTCTTCTACCACACGATTCCAAAGTTAATTTCATCATTAAAGTTGGTAATGAACACATATTTCATTGAAATGCCCTAAATAATTTCTTACCTGAAATTGGTTTATAGGTCTAATGTTTTTAGCTGATATTTAAAAAATAAGCTTTATAAACACTGTATAAACATAATATTACTTTTTCTCATCTGGTAGTCTACAAATGGTGATAAATACACATACTTTCAGCATCCTTTGTCACAAATAACACATTCTTGAAATATACAATGAAAATTAAAAGTAAGATGGAGTTAGGTTCTAAATCAATTAATAAATGTCATGGTTCTAAATCAATGAATAAATGCCATGGATGCAAAATTACCCTTTGGAACACCTTTGAAAATTTCTTAGGAAAAAGCTACACATGGGAGCTAACTTACTATCCTCAGTAAGTCCAATAATAGACAGCTTTTCTCCCCACATTGAAATGAATCACTTTTTCTTCAGGTAGGCATTAAGTGTAGTTTGCTTGCTAATCTGGTAGCCTTATTTTTTAAAAGTTTAATTAGATAATATAATCACATAGAGTGGGATGAAGTGCTTATATTAAGAGAAACACTGAACTGTTTTCTATTACATGCTTGTTCTGAGGCATTCCAATGAAGTACATGGAATCAAACTCTCTTCTTCACCAAGCAAACACATAACTGAATTCTCATAAGCTGAGTATGAAACATAACAAACTAATCTAAATGAAGCTACTACTTATGACCATGTACTAATTAGAAGGGTTCTTTTTTCCAAACTATATGTTTGACCCATTATTGGCTTCTGAAATTAAGTTAGTACATCTGAAGAGTGTTTTTTAAAAGAATAGAACTGAAAAGAAAGTGTCAGAGTTCATGACACACTGTTAAGGCAAATACTTTCTGAAATTATATGCTCTGAACAAAAGGCTTTAGTTCACTGGTGTCTTTTATTTATCCCTTTGCTCCTTAACCAGTGAAGAACAAAAAATTGGAAAATGAAAAAAGAGAAGCCACATAAATGTCCCAAACTTGTTTAACCAAAGGCATATTAAATTTGAATAAGATAGTCACGTTTTTACAGTCTCGACTCAGCAAGGACCTATAAAGGGGACAAAAGAATCCAACAGAACAAACTATGAGAGAAATGCGTATCATTAATTATTTTATTAATCTAAGTTAATATCTGTTTTAGTAATCTAAATTAATTAGTATGTGTAGGTGTGTGTACTTATTAGGTTGAGATGTAAAATATTTTACTTTGGGTTGCGATTTTTAGCACAGTTTTAATACTATGTATTCTTGGGTACTGTGATTCCTAGCTGAATAAATAAGCAGAAGAATGAATTAAAAAGATGTAAAAATGAGTATTTTATTACTTAAATGATTTTTTACAAAACAATTAGGATTTCAGTTACTACTTTTCCCAAGTTTTCCCTGGAGGAGTCTGGTTTGACTACAGTTTCATGGTGTGGGACACTGCCAACCTCATCTTAACATTACTGGAATGACTATGATCATTTAATGGTATTAATACTACAAAATCTTAAGAAACACCTTGGCTATTATGACTGTCTCTATATTTTTACATCTGCCAAGAGTATTTCAATCATCTTCCTAGTCTATATATGTGCAAGATCACAAAAGCCAATGCCATGTCTGGAGCCACATGTTTAAAGAATGTTAACAGTGAATGGATTTGGGAGAAGGGGCTCTTCAGGCTGTTTCCTAAAGATTCACTTCCTTAATCAAATCAGGCATAAAAAGCAAATATCTTAGCTCCTTAGCCAGCCAAAAGCATAACTATGATGGGAGGGAGTGATGGGTGAAAGAGTGCAGAAAATATGGGCCAACAATGTCTTAGATTATAACTTAAAGTGACAAAGGCCTTTAACTTGGGTTCACATCTTGCAATCCCTAAGGGTAAGAGCTGCAGATGACAAAATGCTTTAGTTCCATGGTGTCTTTTACTTACCTCTTTGCCCCTTAACCAGTGAAGAACAGAAAAAGGAAAAATGAAAAGAGGGCAGCCACATAAAATCTCCTGAACTTGTTTAATCAAAGGCATATTAAATTTGAACAAGATACTCTTGTTTTTACAGCCTTGACTCCAGTTGGGCAAAAGAATCCAATAGAACAGGAGAGATAAAGAATATCATGAATTGTTTTATGAATCTAAACTGATGATACTGTTGACAAAGTTACCTTGGTGTTTACCAGTGCCTAACTGGTTTCTACCTTGAACACAGTGACTTAAAGATCTATTGCTTAAGAGAGTTTCCAACATTTAATCTCACAACCCTGTCTAAAGGTTCTGGTAAAATCAGAGATGAAACAGTTTGTAAGGATGCAAACCTAAAGGAAAATAAATCTCTACGAACATGAGTACAGTCAAGCTCATCCTTAACAAACTCTGCAAATAACAGGAAAGTAATGCTAATGCAACTTATTTAGCAAATGCTTTTCACCTGCAAGATCACAGGAAAATGAGATTTCTCACTCAAAGACTATGGAATTACCATAGTTGATTATTAAGTAAAATCTCTTGTGTGTAAATTCCCAGCTCCCAGTCTCCCTAAAAATTATTTGTCTGTGTTTACAACTTAAGTTTAACTGTGTGAAAACAAGGACAAGTGTAGGTTTGAAAATTAAAGACAGTCTCCTCCTTTATCCATGGATTTTACTTTAACAAAAGTGTTTACACTTTCCTGTTTATTTCAACTCATGGACTGCACTCCTCTCGTGGGTACCAGGTACCAACTACAGTAACCACCTAGAACTTGGGCAGGGGGAAAGGAGGGGTGTGCGACTGCGTGTATCCAAGTGACCAAAACCAAACGCGGGGCGCGGAGGCGAACCCTGTCTGCCTGGTGTCCGGAATGGGGCAGGAGGCCAGGGTTGGGGAGCCCGGCGCGGCCGCATCCCTCCAGCCCCAGGCAGCGGGCCGAGCTGGGTGTGGGAGAAGGGAGGGAGCGTCGCCGGGCGGGGCTGGGTAGGTCCCCAACCCGCGGAGCGACGCAGTCCAAGGCAGAGGGAGAAGGGCGCGCCTCCCCGCGGGTCCCAGCCCCGCTGTGGAGGGAAAAGGCCGGCGGCGAGAGTCCTCGATACCTGACACAGGGCCAGCTCCTCCTTTAGGCCGCTCAGCTCTTCCTCCAGCAGCTGAATCCGGGTCACCATCGCCTCCTCTACCGAGATGCCCTCTAACCGCCTGGACCCCATGGGCGCGCTGAGGAAGGGAGCATGAGCCGGAGCTGTCCCCTCTGGCCCTCGCCGGCCCCCTGACCCTTCTTCGCCCCTCCAGATTATGTCACTTTTGTCCGCGACGACCTCCCGCGCTGCGCTGGCAAGTCCCGAGGCCTCGCTGCGCACTGCGTGTACCTCAGCTCTCCGCTCAACACGTGGAGACCTGGGGCCCAACTGTCGCGCTGGGGGCGGAGGGAACTGTGAGGGCGGCGAACGCGCCGCCATAGCCGCGGCTGCTAACGAGTCAAGTTCCCTCTTGGAAACTCCCCCTTCCCGTCTCCATCCCGGCGAGCCTGGAGCGCCGAGCTGCGCATGCGCAAGTCTTTTCCCGCCTTGGCGCGCGGGGTCTCGTGCTCTCAGGCTCTGGCCAGCTTCCCGTGGGCCGCGCGCCCGGCGCGAGCGTTGGACTGCGCACGCGCTGTGGCCCGAGGGGTGCGGCCAGTCTGCCCAGCCCCCTGGCGGGACTTGCCCTGCCTGAGTCGTTCTCCAGGAACTCTTCGATTTCCCACCTACACATCCCACCTCTTAAAGCCTTCCTTGACAAGCCCCCAGCCCCAAATGATCCTTAACTGTGAATCCCTCCTCCTTCAAGGCCCCTGCCAACTCGTTTGTCACGTTTCATTGACCGCCCTGTAGTGCTAGTTACATGGCTAATCTCTCCAGAGCTGTTGTAAACTCCTTGAGGATCAACGAATAAGTTTTACACTTAAGTGTTTTCTTTACTCCCTTTGGCAAAACTGCTTTGCGTTAGAGCCGACAACCAGCTGACTGATGTCAAGGATACATGGAAAGCCTTGTGATGAGCTGGGACTATCAAGCAGGTTTCCCATTTAGATTATGATCCTTTGTACGCCCTTGTTTTTTGTTTTGCAAGAGTCATGATTTTCTTTGAGTTTTATGTCAGCTGCTTTATGCATTGGCTGGATATCAGAGTGAGCGTGTTCCACGCTGCCAGACAGTTGGGGTTGAAATCGTAATTTGGAGGATGGTTCAGGAAACGAGACCTGCTTGCTTTATCTTTCATTCTCTTTCTTTCTTCTTACTTGCATAGGCAATAACCTTCATAAACTTTGCATAGGCAATAACCGTCTCTTTTTTTTGTCCTTAAAATACTTTCTTACTATTTAAGTGTTAGTTAGGACATGTATGTTGAGCTGGCACCAGAATTTTACGGAAAGATAGATCTGACCTCTTCTGCAGAAAGGGTTCCAGAATACTCGGAGAGAGCTGAAATGGGGGTTGAGGGACTGTAGAAGTAGGGACATGACCACTTTAACTGATGACTTCATGTAATCAAAATCACAGTATCTGTGCCCAAATCTAGTCAGCATGAAGAAAGACACCTTCCCAGTTAGAATCCTACTCAGACGAGATGAGTGGGCTTCCTTCCCAATGAACGTGAATACCTCACAAAATTAATAAAGGATTACTTTAGAAAAAGTACATATAAATCTCTCTTAGAAGTAGCTACCATATTGAGCATTTACCACATGCTGAGTGCAGTGCTAAGTACTATTCATATATGAACTCGTTCAGTTCTTGCATCACCTTAAATTAGATATTATTATCCCCATTTTAATAGCGAGGAAACTGAGAGTAGAGAGGTTATTGTAACTTGCCTGAAGTTCTACATCTGTTATAAGAAAAGCAAGGATTTCAATCCACTGAACTCCACTTGACTCTAAAACGTGTGCCTTTGATCTCTACCCTTACTCCATGTCTGTCATGTGAAATACAGCATTAGGTCAGATAGCAGGAGAGATTTCACTGGGCATGAGACTGGGAATTCTAACCACATAATTCACATGTTTGGCTTGAAATCAATATGAATGCACATTTTAATTGCTATGTGTTATTGACTCAAAAAGGCATCATTTCACATTTCACCTGATCATAGAAAGATTCTTTTGAAAAGCAGTGAAATCTCTTCTATTATGCATAATGCATTATACATAATAGTGGTTTTTTATATATATATATGGTGGTTTTATTTATTTTTTATATATAGATATAGATATAGATATATAACCGCCCACCCAAAAGGACAATATCCTGAATCTTTGACTAGGCAATTTTTTAAAAATTTTTCTCTTTATTATGGTAAAATACACATAACGTAAAATTTACCATTGTAGCCATTTAAATATGGCAACAAATAAAGAACAATTCAGTGGAGTTAACTACATTCATTATGTTAGGCAACCATCACCACTATCCAGTTCCAGAACATTCTCATCACCTGAAATGGAAACCCCATACCCATTAGTCACTCCATATTCTCCCTCCCCCATCCCCCCAGGCAACCACTAATCTTCTTTATGTCTCTGTGTATTTGCCTATTCTAGATATTTCATATAAATGGAACCATACAAAATGTGGCCTTTTGTGTCTGGTTTCTTTTACTTAGCATAATGTTTTCAAGGTTCATCCAAGTTGTAGCATATATCAATACTTTATTCTTTTTTATAACTGCATAATATTCCCTTGTATGGATATACTACGTTTTGTTTACCCATTTACCAGTTAATGGACATTTGGGTTCTTTCCAACTTTTGCCTATTGTGAATAGAGCTACTGTAAACATTCATGTATAGGTTTTTGTTTAAACACCTATGGTAAATTTTTGTGTATGTATACCTGTAAGTAGAATTGCTAGGTCATATCATAATTCTATATTTAACTTACTGAGGAACCACCAAACTGTTTTCTACAGTGGCTGTGCCATTTTACATCTCCATAAGCAATACGTTAGAATTCCAATTTCTCAACATCCTAGCCAACAGTTGTTCTTTTCTGTTTTTGTTTTGCTTTGCTTTTTTATGGCCTTCCTAATGATTTTGAAGTGCTATCTCATTGTGTGGTTTTGATTTGCATTTTCCCAATTACTCGTGACATTGTACATCTTTTCACATACTTCTTGGACATTTGTTTATCTTCTTGGGAAAAATATCTATTTAAGTCCTTTGACTATTTTTTCATTGGGTTGTTTGTCTTTTTGTTGTTCAGTTATAAAACCTCTTTATTGGCAGACAATTTCTAAAGAAAAGAAACATGTGCAGAGTTCCAGAAGTATACATAGAGAGTTCTTTCTTATATTAGTTATTTGCTGAAATGACAGAAAATGTATAAAACATTGAATATTTATACTGGTGACTCAGAAGGATAAGTCAAAGATCTCTGCTGATACTTGAATAAAAATGTCCAAAACAATCAAGATATTTCTCCTGTTCAATTTTTTGTTCAAATATTTAAAGTGATGATTTCTTTTTTTTTATTTCAGCATATTATGGGGGTACAGATGTTTAGGTTACGTATGTTGCCCTTGTCCCCTCTTCTCCCCTAAAGTGATGATTTCTGTTCTGCAGAAATAAAGTCTGCTGAGGATGAAGTATATTATTAATAGAATATAGAGACACATAATTCTCTCAGTATCACTCTTGTATAGTTGAAATATTGGGGGAAATACACAAATTAATATGATATTTAAATAGCATCTCTCACCTTAATTTTAAAAACTCATGTTTAACTTCTGTTTAAAAAGAGAAAAGTACCAGCAGTTTCTTGGCCTGTATATTTGTTTGTTTTCAGAATACAAAATTTTAAGACATGTCTATTTCTCCTTTACCAATTTGGCATAATCTTTATTTAGTGAGCAGAAAATAATCATGTTTTTAACCACTATTAAATATTGATAAGACCTAAAATATCATAGGTTTCTTTTTATATCATTTTAAAATTTTATCTCAAATTTTAGTATTTGCCATATCCTAGAGATTTATATCAGGAATCACTTGCCACCCAACTCCTTCAGCATTAAAAGAGAAACTCACAAGCTAGAATGTGCCAATGTGACACTTGAATCAGTGGCAGACATATTAGTCAGTCTAGTGTGGAGAAATCACAAGCTAGGATTTGGTGGAAGTAAACCAAGACAATTGCTTTGTGCTTACAATTACTACAATTTTGTTTGAGCAATTCCTGGCAACTGTTAATCCCCCATCAGTCTTGAGAATGCTCTAGGTCAAGATTATAGGTATACAAGGAGATACCACAGTTCCCGTTGTTCCATGTGATTTTTACATAGTTCAAAAATTATGACCAGACTCAAGGATGAGACACACATGTCATCTCACCATCAGAGGATCAGACTCTGTTTCCCTGCCTGCTTGGTAAGGTGATTAGTCAGAGTATAGCACCAAGTTGATGGCAAGTCATATTGAGTGATTTAAGGAACAATTAAAACAAGGACTAATTACAAATGCAAGAGTAGGATTGAGGGAAACTATGAGAAATAATGCAGGACCCTGAAACTAATCAAAGGGTGGGAGATATTATCACCCTAGGCTAGAAGGGACAGGGGAATGAGCAGCTAATGGTACCAGGAGACAGAACAGGCTGTGTAAAGAAAGCTGCCTGGTGAGAGGCACACACTCAAGAGATAGGGAGCCAGTGGAACAAACACTCCAACCTCACTCTTCCCTCATGCCCATCTCCTTGCATGCTCCACACTGGTGAATACAACCAGTTCTTTCAGTTCAGCCCACCAGGACACAGAGCATGGTGGAAAACATCAAGAGACAATCTGAATGGGCAAACAGAAAGTACCTGCTCAAGAGGTTAGTATAGTCTAATAAGCAACAACTGGGACACAGCCTGAATAGCACCCTATTATAGCCAATAAATGATTTAAAGTAATAATCTTATGTCATTCTCCTGGCAACTGGTTGGACATTACTTTAACTTCAACAATACCACAAAGAAGAAAAATGTGAATTACACATTACAAAGAAGAGGTAACAGAATTTAGGCAAGAGTTATGTAAAGAATTAAGTTTATTATGAACAGAAACCCTACTATGGGAGCACCAAAGAGAATGTTCCAGGAGTTTGTGACTCTCCTAACAAACCGGGTCCCAGGTAGGAACGTGGCAAGAAATTGGAAATAAAGGAGACAGAGACGAAGTATAGATAGGGAAATCAGGGGTCCTCCAGCATTCCTGTGAGCCAGGAGGCCACTATATAGTCCTGCATCTGTATTTAGTCTTTCAGCAAACAATTATCATTAGTCACCAATTTACATGTACATATCATGAGTTTAAGTTTCAAGATCTCCCAAAGTAACAATAAACTAGCTAAGTATACACAAATTAAAGATAAAATCGTGAGTCTTCAGTAAGGCGTATAATCCAAACGGGAACAAAGAGACCACATACTTCTCTCTACTTTATCTAGTTCCTCATTTACTGAGACACA